GCGTTAGGTACATATTTTATTAACAAGTTTTTAGCAATTTATGAAGTGTTTATTAGCACTTTTTTGATGACAAATGAAAATTAAATATTTAAAGTTTATATTAAACTTAATCCTTACCTTAAAATAGATTATTTAATTAGTTTTCAGAGTATCTGAAAAATATGAAAATTCTGTGAAAATTCAGCTGACTGAGCTAATATATACTATTTGTCAAAGCTAATAGCAGAGTTGCCAAGTAAAGTGCAGTCATTTCGTGCGGGGCGTAATAAATGCATAGAATAATGAATAAGAAAAATCGGTTAAAAAGAAAATATGAAATAATATATACATCTGTACGCTTTTGAATTAATTATAATCAGCCTTTAAGTGAATTCTAGATATGTAAATAACCAATGTCACATGTTGTCTATATATATAAATATATATTGACAGCAAAATAAAGCCCGCAAACACGCTAGAACGATGAGGACACATCTAAAGATTATCTGATCATCAGTAATATTATTTCAAATTCAATGAAAATAAAGATTTTCGTACTATCATAAATGTATAAAATCTACGATCTTTGGAAAAGTTTTTCGCACTTTTCATCCATTGTTTATTTGATTGGTTCATGAAATTTGTTCATGAGCACTTCATTGCACCGCAGTTGAAAGATCCAGTGCGCACATTACTATTTAGTTTAGTCATGGGTAAATGATATAAACTGAAACGAATGTAGAACAAAATTTTTATACTCTTCGCCACTTATGGTACTAGCGTATCTTGAGTTTGTGCAGATATATGCAACACCCAGAAGGACACGAGATAGACCCATATCGATCGTTTCAATACAGGTCACTATTTATTAGATATTTTTATCAAGTCTCATATACCCCGAGGTTTTCGATATGGTTCGACTCCTTTCGAAATAAAACCATTTTGAAAAGTCCTTATATGGACAATTATATTAAGGGAGGCAATGTTGGATATTTAATGCCGAGTCCTGGTCTACCACATTGTTTTTCTTATTTTTCAATTATAAAAGTGATTTAATTAATCTTTTTACCGAACATCTGTCCGTACTCATGGTAAATTCGACATAACTAATCCCTATAACAGGAAACAGGATGACATTAATAGAACAGATATTAGCAATGTTGTGTCAAGTTCTCGAGTTATGCTATACGCACTTGGCTAATTGGAGCATTATGAGAAACGATGTCCATATCCAAATAGTACGTAATGAACATAGGGACAAAACTGCTGTTATTCGTTTATTTTCTTATTTTAGGTTCAAATAAATAATGAAGTTATATTCGCCTTATATCAAATTTATAAATGCTTTCACCTATGCTATAGGTATCAGATATTGATTTGGGATTTCTTTTCGCGTAGATTGGAGTACAAATTAATCCGGTTCGTTTTTTCTCTTTAATTTATACGCAACTGTATAAGTTAACAAATTAAGGCATACACGACATAGTTCCGTGGAGCTTTGAATAGATGCAGCTCTGCGTCAAAGAGGAGCCCGTTTGCGGGAAACTTTGCTTTTCCTGGTTAATTCGAAGGATAGTACTCCTATAAGTGATGAATAGTGGATGGGCTCCGATATCGAAAGACCAAATAATCACGCTGCAGAGTACGTGAGCCATTAACATCGACGATAAAGCTAATTGTCCATAGCAGTCTCACTTGGGAGGACCATTATACGTTGTCCGAATCAAATGAAACCGTCACTAGAAGACACCATTACCAAAATAGCTGCTACAAATGTCAGAGGAAATGGCCATTGTATGCTGAAAGACATGATATCACTTGAAATGTTTGCGTTTTTAGCCTCCTTGCTGTTAACAGCAGACAACATCACTTCGAATTAATAGTGGCTGTAATCTTATGATGACTTATTGTTTGCTTGAATGCTGCTTACATTTTTACAACGATATCCAAATAAGAATTCTTTTAAGGATAGCCTCAAAAGATGATACATTTTTTCGAGATGAAAATCCAAAATTGCCTGAGAGGGTAGCTAGCGCTGCCTAATGTTGGCAAACAGTTTGATTAATCTGTCTACTGATTTTGTTCTGAAATAAGCGCAATGTTTATCACAAAAAGAAAAACAATGGACCGCATTTATTAATACTCCCACCGTAATTAATAGAGCAGTCAGTAAAGTTGCAAATCGATCAAAATATTATTGAAAAATTCCTATTACCCCGAGTCTCTTCTACAATTAGGAACGTATCATAGGTACTTTAAAGCTTCATTCCCGATTGCAGCCAAGTAAGTGCCAAGAGATAATCTCACTCTCCATTTTATTCCATTTATTTTTATACGCAAAAATTTTAAAAACTGCTTAGTGCAACCAACACTTACAACTAAGTTTGTTCAGAATCTCACATTGAACTTCTTTTGGTTACCTCTGAGGTACACAAGAAACGACAAAACTGATATACACCCGTTGTATAGAGGTGGATTCGGTATTATTATTGCCTTAATTTATTTAAACCAAAAAAATCAAGTCCTGGATTAAAGAACGATAAATTGTGAAGTGCCAGCAGGTAAGACTCGGAAAAACTAAGATACCTAGTTTAGTCACTCCAATCATGTGTTACCGACTGATATTGCGTTTAGCTGAAACTTACGGAATGTCTTTAGAATTACTCGAACTGTGCGTTGCGTGTGGGCGCGTATTTTACGATGTTGCCTATAATTAAGCGGAGAGGTCCAAAGACTTGTTCCCATCGCTTAAGAGACCAATTGACGTCTATACATTAAGAAATTTAAAAATGGGAGGCTGCGCAAACAAATTTTTAATTCGAGAGAGACTCAGTGCCGTAAAGAGCAGCATCGAAACCATTGAGTATAAGAGTGCTTCACTCAATGGTCCTATGAGCAATGAAACATTAAATATCCTCCAATTTAGGCTGCATAGTACGCAAAAGCTAGACTTTCTAGCATTTGCTCCGCAAGCAAAAGTTCAAAGTTTCCTAATGAATCGGGACGATTCAAACTTTCAATTTTGCTTGCAATAGCGTAAGCACGTACTTGTCAATGCAGGCCTTCACTTAATCAGACTAATCTCATCTAATAAGTTCTTTTCGGATATGTTTACATATTCTAATGTTTTCCCCGCTATCAGTTAAAGTCAGCTGATCACAGTTCTATCCATTCATGAAATTAAGAAAACATCATACTTTCATAGGAATAAAATGAATCACACTTGGTTGAATCGTTGTCCTTCATTAGTAGTTCAATAATTAAATAGCCTTTCGATAATTAAACGCATTTCCTTCGGCAAAATTTAATGGTAATCTTAAGTGTATTGAAACACTTGAATGAGCGAGAATTTTCACGAACTCTGTAAGATTGACGACTGGTTGAAAATATTTGTGGAAAAGTGAGCTCATTTAAAAACAGTTTAAATGAATGGTGAACGATTGATGCATGTTAGCAAAAACACTGTCAAGTACAATGAAAATGAAAAAAATATTTATAAACTTGATGTCCCATCGATACATTTCCAAGGAAGAAGGTATATGGGATTATCACAAGTATGCTCTACAAAGCAGCCAAACCTACCTCGGCGAAGTATAAACAAATAAAATGGTTTTTTAGACCTTTGAATAGCTCGGTGGGGATGTCATTTCTCCCGTTTAGTTCGAAGAAAATTGTTATTAACAGTGACCGATTGCTTTATTTACGTATGCAATAATACTTGAGTGTAGCAGTAGTAGAGTAGTATGGAGAAGTCTAACTAGGAAACTTTAAGAATGAAGAATCGAAAGCAAGAAGATCTTGTGATGTCATTGTGGTTTTAGAAAGCAAGCGACCAGTTATTTTCGAATGTTTGAAGGCCATTGATACAATTTATGAGCAAAAAATTAAGTCACCTACGATCTGCATGTGAAAGAAGCTTAGATATGAATTGCTGTGATGACGAAGAAAGCCCTTTGAGTCGAGTCATGCTGGTTACGGAAATGATTATTCGCTTTTGCATATTGATGACGACCCTGTTTTTGAGAACCATGTGAGTGGCGCGTCTTGTTAGCTACTCTGTTCAAGCCATCAATGGGTCAACAAGCAATGACATATGGCGAAGCAAGATATAAAAGGAAAGGCGGCCTTCCTATGTCAAATACCATGATAAAATGGTTTCTTCACGCTCTATCTAATAATGCCAAAGTCCGTTCAATAGGTGTCAAGTGTTCAATAGGCGCTGAAGTGTAATATGTAATACGCTATATTTTTCCGCTGCATTCGTCGCTCGACGTTTCTTCTGATTAATATTTGTTAACCTATAGTCTGTCCAAATAGCACTTCAATTCTAATGACGATGTCGGGCAATGGACGCTTTCAATGAGGGACTCAGAAGAGGACCAGGGATCGGTTTATGGTACGATACGGAAGATAAGAAAGTGATAAGATCGCACTTTGTGTTGATGGTACTCGATAAGGGGTAGAAAGAAAAATTAAAATAAATTAAAATACAAAACAAATAGAACCTTAGTCATCATCAAAATATTGCCCGTTCATCAACACCACCGCCTCTAAGTACAATACAGCCAATCTAAACAGTTCTCTAGCATTTCGATACCCTTCTAATAGGACGATTTGCCAAGATCGTGTAAATGCACTTCAGTCTCGAGTAACGAGCTAATCATTAGGTCAAAATCTTTTTTCGGAGAGTATGTTGTGCACTTCACAATCAGATAACGGTCATTGGGGGCTAGATCTCTCATAATTGAAGCGGACAGAAAATTTGTAAATATATGGAAATCAACTGCCTTCGCACTATTCATAGCTTCTTGCGGGATTCATAGAAAGACCTAGTTAGCTATTGCTATGTCTCATTTCAAGCATATCCTCCTGTAAAGAGTGTATGGATAAATGAAAGAGACCCATGGATACATTTACTAAAATTTACATTGATTTAAAACTCTTCTTTGCTTGTTTATTTGATTGAATTGCCATTTACACAACCAAAAAAAAAAAAAAAATTAAAAAAATTACTTCAGTAAAATTAAAGTAATTAATATTACATCAAGTATTTTATAAATCACAAAATTAATTGGTTTACAGAATTTGTATCTTCGTACGTTAATGAATATAAATTCTAGGAATACAAGTATGTGTGCATATTTATGTACACAATTACGCGAATACTGCAGTTTTACATTTACATATTAAATTGGTTGCATACCCAATAATTGCATTACTTAACCTTTAATATAACTAATATACGTTATGGGTTCTTATATGTAACACAATGCGCATTAATATGGAGGGATCAATATGTTTTTTATTATTATTATTATTATTATTGTTGTTGTTGTTCTTCTTCTTTTTTTCTTCTTTTTTTTTCTTCTTTATGTTGTTCGATAATTAATGTATTTGCTGGTATTAAAGCGAGAATTTTTTTCAAATAATATAAACATAGATATAAAGGATATAAAGTGATTACATCTATCTATTGGTCGATCAGTAGGGTAAGTAGATCTCATTATATAATAAATGCTATTTTAATTGTTATATAACCAAATAAAACAAAACAAAAAGTAGATATGGAAAAGTGTATTATGCGCTATGTGCACATATAAAGCATAATCAACATATAGTCACTTATCATACGGATATCAGTTTAACATTAAAATATTTTGATTTGGTTTTCCTTGTTTTAAGTTTAATGTGAATGATGTGATTGATTGTACGTTTTAAAATAGAGGGAATAATTTTTGATCTTTGTTTTTAGAAGAAACATATAGAGAGATAGAGAAAGTGTTCGAATATAAATATCTGAGCACATAGATTCACAACACTGCCATTCCTTATCCATATGGCACTAAACCTACTTTATCACTAAATGTTGAAATCACATATAACTCTATTAGATAAATTGCAAATACATGTAATCTTATTATTAATAGTGTGTTAGCACTGGTTAAACGCAGCCAACAATATTATATAAACGGAAATCTAGATTTCTATATACAAAGAATACACATTGAGACTATAAATTGAAATTGGTGGCAGAAAGAGAGCAGCACTTGCTTATATATATATATATATATATATATATATATATATATATATATATATATATAGAAAAGATCGACCATCTAACCATCCGAGAGTGAAGGTGTTACCCAACCATATTTCTCATGGGTCTTTACCAGAGAACGAAAAGCCTCCTCAGCTCCCCGTCTAAAATTTAAATATATTTTATACACATTTTTTGTTCTTTTTTCCGTTCTCCAATTTAAATTTAATATAAAAATGTTGTTAAATATTGATTAAAAAAAAAAAAAATACCTGGTAAATTCTTTGGTATTTCGGTTTTTCTTCATGATGCGCCCCTGTCCTTTAACAAGACTGGCCGAGAATTGCATAAGTAAAGCTTCAACTGTATAGGCACTAGCCCAACCACGCGGTGTCAGCAATTCCATGCAAATGGCCCCACCATCCATAACGTAGCCCTTCTCAATATGTGGCTCAACTACACGCATAAATGGCGGAGCAAAAGGAAAATTATCAGGAAATACCAAATGCAGGAGTATAAACGGTATATGCATGTCAACCATATCTTTAGCTAATTTTGAATCCGGATCAACTATATGTAAACGAACATACCACTCATAGAGATTATCGTTAATAAGTTCCACCTGAAAAGGAAAAAAACCTTTTAGTATAAGAGAAAAAAAATTCTTTTATTTCCTTGAAAGACTTTTATCGTTCTTACCGTGAAAACAGGATCTTTTTTGCTATTTTGAATTTTTTGTATTTCCTTGTATTCTTTCATAAGACGTCGGGCTCTTATATTCAAATCGGGTACCGTTTTTATACCATTCTGTTGAGGTTTTATTCTAAAACAAAGAATTAATTATTGTTTAATAAAATGTACGTGTGTTCGTTAATGAACTTTGTTTACTTGTGCTCTTGTCTTCGCATCCGTTTACCGGGCGATTCAGCATTGGAATCGTTAACGGTTTTTGAGGCGGCAGCTGCACTTTTATCAACAGTTTTACCCTCGAACATTTCGCCATTTCGCTCATTATCGCCTTTGAAGATTTTACGCAGAGTGGATACCACTTTGTCCTTAGAGCGCGATGACATTTTGTGTATTAATATATTAAAAAATTTTGATTTTCTAACGGTGGTATATGTTTGTTGCTTTAATTTCCTTTAACACACTTATTATTATTATTTTTATGATTATTTTCAGTCCAATGTACACTTTTCTACATATAGCGTTAAAAAACAAAATGTAAAAGTTGTGCGTTAACCATAAGCCTAACTCAACTGCAAAGATCTGGAAAAATATCAAATGGAAATTATTTATGTAAAAGATGCAAAAAAATAAGATAAGAGAGAAAAAGGAAAAAAAAAAAAAAGAAGAAAAATGCTTTGGTTACTTTCCAAGCCAAACGAAGAAACAATATTATTAAATTATCCTTAACACACAAAGTACACACTGGCCTGTTTAATAAATACTGACATTAAAATCGAGGCATGACAAACTTGGTTTGTTATTTTCTTTTTTTGTTAGTGGAATTTTGGCAAAAACACTTGGCATCAAATTTCTTTGGGTGTAATTGTCAATTACATATAGTTAGCCGTTACCTTGTTCTAATACCAATTATGTGAGTAAATAACTGTTCTTCTCTAGCACAGAGTAACTTAGCATATGCCGCCTCATCCGAATTATCTTTCATCTTTGAATGTATTTGGCATTGATGTGTGGGATGATTTTAAAAATACATATTTAGGCATGCATACATGCATATATATATATATATATATAATTTAAAATTTCTTGGACGAATAGACGAAATGTCATATAACGACATTTTTAAACATTGCGTGTATACAGGTTTACAACGTTTCTAGCTACGTTTAATGTTCGCATGGCCTTTATACTGCAGGTGGGAGAAGTTTTCCAAGTAATAAAATATTTAAGAAAAATACTTTGTTCCCTTTGATTTAATTCAGAGATGACTTTGATAGGTTTTTATAGCATTACATATCCTATTTGTGCCTAAGTAAAAACATTATCGATGCACAAGGCCACACGTTAAATACCATACGTCGTTTCGTTTAATTATATACTACGCCACTTGTGGGCGGTATATTAGATTTGTGCGAAAGTATGTAACACGAGGAAGGGCTTAGGATAAACCCATCTTTTATTATATTGATCGATTAAGAAAATGGTTCATTTCAATCATTTCAAAATCTTGTCTGTCCGTCTGTTGAGTGTCCATGCATTTTTGTGTTGAACTTACAGGTCGCAACTTTCAATATGTTTTGATGAAATTTGGTGCACTCACATGTTGTGGTCCAAGGATGAAAGCCATTGAAAATGGTTCGGATCGAACCACTTTCTTGACTACTCTCTCCAAAAAAACTTTTTTCGTTATATGAAAAAATTGTGTAATTTTCAAAATTTCGCGAGATAAAAGGGGGGAGTGGTCGTCCCTTAGGCAAAGCATGTCAGTGTATTAAATTTGGTTAAAACATTGATACAAGGACAAAAATAGGCAGACAGTCGGATAGATATGACTAAATTGACTCAGAAAATGTTTCTAACCAGATCGGTGGTTAACTCTTGTGTATTACATACATCCACACAAACGTAACATGCCCTCTAACACAACTGATGTAGCGTATGGCAAGATAAGAGGTTTTATTTTATAATTCAATACTACTTTTCCTTATCATTACAACTCCTTACCTTCCTTACCTTTCTCCTCAGACAATTTACAATAAATTTGACCAAAATATGATACATAAAATCGTTTTACAAATGAAAAGCAATAACGCTCTCACTCATTGCCTCCTATTCATAGAGATAGCCTTCTTGATTTGATTTCAAGAGCGCAAGTTAAAACAAAAATAGTACGTGTACTACATTTGTCTTTATGTTATTATTGAATGACACGCATTCGTCATCAAGGTCGCAAAATTTTCGATATCGCTGGCATGTGTACCCATCAAGATCAAAATCAGTACTTACTGCAGAAGGTATGTTAAGATTTTTCCCTATTGCGTGGAGCATTTGCGACTAAACCTCTTCCCTTCTTAAAATCAATCTGGACCGAGAAATTTATATTCCAGTGTTCGAAGTCGATAGAAATTGTATTTTGAACATGGGGCCGAATTCTGAAATAATTCACTACATTTTACAATATACGTTCAACGGTAACGCTACAATGATATGTGAAGAAAACAGTGACCAAGCGGTTTGGTCGCTTTCGCTCTATTGCAACAACAAATTGGAGAAAACTACCAGGTCTTTCTTATGATCTCGGTGTGGTATTAAACGTCTAGAGAAGAATACTCTTCTTTTTTTTTTGCAGAGGTCAAGCATCATAAGATCATAAGATTTGATGAAATTCGGTGGTTAAGCATTAAAAACATTAATATCTTTGATATTTTTAATTTGAAGCAACTTAGCTGGCAGGAGATTTGTTTAATTAGAAGATTTAGTCCATTTTCAATACCAATCTGCGTGCTTCTTCCATCAGAACTCCAAATTTGAAGTTGATAGCATCATTTTTGCGGCCAGGAGCGTGTTTACAACAGACATTACACAGACCGACAGGGGGACGTGATACTGATCAAGAATATATACACTTTGTGGGGTCTCCGATGCTTTCTCCTGGGCGTTGCAAACGTTCGACAAAACGAATATACCCCCGCATCCTTCGGCGGTGGATATAGAATAGAAACAGCCCGACTTAAATAGCCAGCACGATGTTGTAATTACTCAAACAACGACTTCTCAAAATACGCCGAAGTCTTTGAAAAAGTGGCCCAATCTAACTTCATCCTTTGGCCAAAACACGTCAGCATGCACTAAATTCCATTAAATATCTTAAAAATTACGAACCTTTAGTTGAACGCAACAAACCAAGTCGGAGATTAATAGGTTCAGAAAGCGACCCTGAATCCATCAGTACGATAACATGTGGTAAAGGTGAAGTAGTAAAAATTTGCTAACTTTGCCATTCTATATTATGTTTGTTATTTTGAGAATTTCGCCATTGGTTTGTTATAGTTCGAGTTATATTTTGCTTACAACTCTTACAATTCTCAATATAAATTCATTATTAACAGGGACTTACATTTACTTTGCTCCACTATTCTCTTAAACAAACTCAAACATTTCGTTCTGACATTTTTATGTTAACCCGTTTCACCTGTAAACTTTTATGCATATTTTTTCGTCAACAGCCAGCTGCTACTTTACCTTAGGACAACAACAGGTAAAGCATAAAAAATCTTTGTTTGGTTAGAAAAATTTAACAACTTGGTTTCCTACACACTATTACACTCTATACCACTTGCGTACTAAGCGTGCGCCTATGTATGCAACACCCAAAATGAATTGAGATAGACCCACCTTTGAGTATATCTATCGATTCAGAATCAATCTAAGCTTGACAGGCATAAAGACGAGGGAACAGGTGTGCTTTGATCGATTCAGAGTTTGTGAATGGTCAAGAACTTTATGCAGAGTTACAAGCTTTTTGAAGCAAGGAATGACTATATTTACTTTATATTATCTGCAGACCTCCACTTTGATCAATGCACTTTTAGGTTTTTTTTTGCCAATGTTCGTGTCAAAGCTCAGACGCTTGCTTACTTCAAATCATCGATTATGTCTTCATGGACAGATCACGCTTTCATTGAAGCTTAGCCTGTGGTCATATAAGATAAGTGTATGCGCTATAACAACAATTTTCTATTTCAACTAGAACGCCTGTGAGCATTCGCAAAACAAACGACTGCCAAGCAGATGGGTGGATGGTCAATTCACATCAGAAGAACGAGATATTACGTTTCTTAGAAGTTTCTCGCACAAAAATGCAAAAATAGGGTGCGTTGTGTGGCTTGCGAAACTGTTCTGTTGAAGCCACATATTTTCAATACACACACACACACACACACATTCAATTTCACGCCAAAACCAAATTGATAAACGTGCGACTGTTGCGATCAGAATTGAAGACTTGTGTTACACACTCGTCCATCGCCTCCAGCCTAAAAGCCGCGCCATACAGCGACTTTTGGGAATGCGACAGTTACTTCTGAATCTTCGCTGCTCCAGATGTGTCAATTTTACTTGTTGACATATCCGTTAAACGAAAAATGAACTTCATCACCGAAGAGAAATGCACGAAAGCTCTCTATTACGGAATCAGCGTTTTTGTAGTAAGGTTTTACTGTTTTAACATATTCAGCGATTGTTAAATGATCCATATTGTAAAATTGCAAACGTTACGCTAACTAACATATATGAGGCCCTGGATGATAGGTTTGTTTGTACTACTTTCCGAAACATCCAAGAACTAATGAAACGAACCCATCAACATAGAATAATGCCCCGTTTTCGTTGCGCTTTGGTCTTAAGTCAAGAAAGAGATCAGGAGAAGGGCCGTAGTCTAGCAGGTTTGTCCCCAATCGGCAAGTGTAGTGCCTTTACCGACTTTCTTGGTTTTCCGCGTTTATTTTTCATTAATAAATAGACATCTATTCACGTTTACTTTTTTCATAAAAGAAAGCAAGAGAAACTTGCATCAGTTTTGTCCCCTACTAAGAGTTGCTAGTTGTGTATATTTATTTATGTAAATTAGTTTTTGTTTACATATTCGGTATGTCATGTGTACAAACATAAATGAATCTATTGTTGATCGTGGTGGGGATCTCTATAACATATGTGAATGCACAAGCACACGTGTACAAACGTGTTTAATAGCAAAATTTGCAACATTTAATTTATGGTGATGAGACAGCAACGGCTGTCAGCGCAATATTTGCATGCTGGTGGAATTTCTTTGTTTTAATCTCTGTCTGATGGTATTCTTTTGATTCCATTAAAATGCCTTGTCGATGAAACAAAATAAAAGCAGAAAAAAATTATTTCAATTTCGTTTTTTTTCGCACTCCATCCCTTACAAGAACGCAATAAGATAGCGAGCAAAACAAAGCATTACAGGTATTTTTACAATAACACGGTTCCTGTTAGGTTTGTTTTTCGAATCGCATTGAAACGGATTGAAATACAAATGCAATTAATTTAAAGCTTATTTAAAAAGTAAGACAGAAAAATGATTAATTGATTTTTAGTCTTTTTTGTAATCTGAACAATAATCTTTTCTTTCTTGCATGTTTTCTCATTCTCATTTATATTTATTATGTTAGTGTGAAAGTTTGACAATTTGGAGCATGTTACAAGAGACTTATCGCGATTTTACAGTTATATTAGCACGAAATCATGTTACCGGATGCTCTGTTACGGTAGGAATA